AAAAAAAAAAAAAAAAAAAAAGCCATGGTGGTGTTAGTTTCAGCTACTTAGGAGGCTGTGGTGGGATGATGTCTTAAGTCCAAGAAGTCAAGGCTGCAGTGAGCTGTGATTGCATCACTGCACTCCAGCCTAGATGACAGAATGAGACCCCGTCTCAAGAAAAAAAAAAAAAAAATTAGTGCCAGGAAAACTGCATATTGGTATGCGGAAAAATGAACCTCAACCCTTACCTCACATTATATACAAAAATTAACTCAAAATGTGAATGCTAAAACTATAAAACTCCTTAAGAAAATCTAGAAAAAAAAGTTTGTTATGTTGGAGTTTGCAAAGTTTTCTTAGGACATAAAATGAATAAACCAACAAAAGAAAAAAATGATGAACTGGACTTCACCAAAGTTGAAAACTTCTGCTCTTTGAAAGACACCATAAAGAATATAATAAGGTCAAACACAGACTGGGAGAAAGTATCACTCTACATATACCTGACAAAGGACTTGTATCTAGAATATACAGAATATTTTATAGATACTTAAATAATAAGAAAACAAGCATCTACTTTAAGAATGGGCAAAATATCAAAAAAGATACTTGCAAAAAGAAGATATATACATAGACATGAAAAGATGCACAACATCATTAGTCATCAGGGAAATGCAAATTAAAACCACAACGTGATTCCACAGCACACCCACCAGAAGACCTAAAATGGAAACTACCAGGTTTACACAAGGCTGGGGAATAACAGGAGCTCTCACACAGTGCTAGTGGGAATGTGTAACTGTCTAACCACTTTGGGGAACATTTGGAGGGTTTCTTATAAAGGTAAATATACATGAAAATGTGTGTCCACACAAAGACTGGTCTATGAATGTTCATGGCAGCTCTACGCATAATAGTTCCTTCTATTATTTTTTTGGCTTTATTGCATTGGTTTGGACCCCAAGTCAAATGGTGAACAGATGTGGTACTAGTGCACCTTCTTGTGTAACTCTCCATCTCAGAGGACAAGGTCTCAATATTTCACCATTAAATGTGAGCGTATTATGATATTTATTTATCTGTATATTTTTATTTTTATTTTTTTGAGGCAGAGTCTCACTCTGTCACCCAGGCTGGAGTGCAGTGGCATGATCTAGGTTCACTGCAACCTCTGCCTCCTGGGTTCAAGCAATTCTCCTGCCTCAGCCTCCCAAGTAGCTGGGACTACAGGTGTGCACCACCATGCCTGCTAATTTTAATGTATTTAGTAGAGATGGGGTTTCACTATGTGAAACTCCAGACCTCAGGTGGAACTCCAGACCTCAGGTGATCCACCTGCCTCAGGCTCCCAAAGTGCTGGAATTACAGGTGTGAGCCACTGCACTCCACTTGATTTTTAAATAATATTCTTTTGGGGCTGGGCACGGTGGCTCACGCCTGTAATCCCAGCACTTTGGGAGGCCGAGGCGGGTGAATCATGAGATCAGGAGATCGAGATCATCCTGGCTAACACGGTGAAACCCTGTCTCTACTAAAAATACAAAAAATTAGCCAGGCGTGGTGGCAGGCACCTGTCTAGTGCAGGCACTAGTCCCAGCTACTTGGGAGGCTGAGGTAGGAGAATGGCGTGAACCCAGGAGGCAGAGCTTGCAGTGAGTCGAGATCGTGCCACTGCACTCCAGCTGGGGCAATAGAGCGAGACTGTGTAAAAAAAAAAATAATAATAATAATAGTAATATTCTTTCTACTGTATGTATTTATGTGGTACAATGGGATATTTTGTTATATTCATAATAGTGAAATAAGCACTGTCATCAAGCAAATTAACATATCTATCATCTTGCATTGTTACTTTTTTTACTTTTTTTTTTCATTGTAACCGAAACTAAAATCTCCTCTGGGCAAATTTTCAGTATTCAATAAGATATTATACCTCTGGCTGTCAGCTGTACCTTCTGTCTCTGGACTTCTTCATCCTGTACATCTGCAACTTTGCACCCTTTGACCCACACCTCTCCATTTCCTGCCCCCACGCCCTCCCCTGAGAACCCCCACTTTATTCTGTATGTAGTCAAGTTTTTTTTTTTTTTAAGATTCCACATATAAGTGAGATCACGCAGTATTTGTCTTTCTCTGTCTGGCTTATTTCACTTAGCATAGTGTCCTCACAGTTCATTATCCTGTTTCTTTGAGGAATTCAAAAGATGAAATAATTCCACAATCAAATGATTTATCTTGCATTTGAAAGTCTGCAAATAGAGAAAGCTTGTGACCCAGAGGGAAAAAGCAGATTTGGGTGTGAAATATAGTCTCTACTCAAGTATATTTTTCTCTTCTAAATAATAAACCCTGTTTTGAGCAATTATGTTATGTTTATAACATATTAAAATGAAAAATGCTTCTATGCATTTCTCTTAAAAAAATCTTATTTGTGTAAGCCAGGAGATGCCCTGTTTAGCTTAATCCTTCCTTCATAACTTGAAAAGTTCTCTTCCAAGAACATTAGGGAAGAATCTACCAGTTTCCTCCCTCACTTAACTGAAAAGAACGTGCCTGTAACTCAAGCTGTTTGCAAATCGTTACTGCAGGAACTGCAGGAGCTTCGCAGGGCTCCCCGGAGACATTAGCATAGGATAAGGCGTTCATGCCCTGAAACCAAGTCTGTTCATGGCACTGGCTGTGTAACTATCACGTGCTGGGCCCCAAATAAGCTTATTTGTTTGTTTCCTCAAAATTTCAGTTTGAGCTCAATGGAATTGATTTGCAGGTAAACTTTCTGAGAGGATATTTTATAGCAAGGAAGACCAGCCACCCCCGTGAGGCCTCTCCCTGCTACCCCCTGGGGAGCTGGCTTGACCTTGAACCGACATCTGACGCACGTGTTAACACGCCCTCATAGTTGGTTATTGCATGTCCATTTGGTGGTATTGGTCCCCCCAGGGTTTATGATCAGCTCATCCACACATACAGATCCCCTGTCACACACACATGGCTGTGCTGGGCACTGCAGGGTCCGTGAAAGTGAAAGTGCATTCCAGACTCTGTCCCCCCAGAGCTGCACTCCAGCGGGGAGCATCTCCGGTAACACACAGGTAAAAGCAAGGAAAGAATGACATGCTACATTTCCTGTCCTTGCCTTTGAGGGCAAACACTCGTTGAGGGACCGGAGAGAGTAGTCAGGAAAGAGTTCATGAAGGAGAAACGTGTGAGCTTGAAGGAGACCGCAGATCACAGCCACAAGGCACTGGCATGTATGTGGGCAGGTCCTACTGGGAGGGAGAAAGGAAGACTGACTTAATCAAGGACCGCCTGGACGCTTTTGCCATCAGCACATCCTGCCCATTCTGCCTTCGAAATGAACCTCAGGCAGCCAGTCCTCACTGTCGGCACCGCTAGTGCCTGGTCCATGTCATGGCCCTTGTGGTCCATGAAGTTCAGCCTCCTTGTGGCTGTCCTTATATCCCCCATCCTTACCCCACTCTATGCCCTGTCAATCAGGATTTGCCCCATCCAGACCCCCCAAGGCTTTCCACATACCAAAGGCAAACCGGAGCCCTTCCTGTGCCCCTGGGCCCCGGGATCTGCCATCGGCCCCGCGGGTCTCACCTCCTGCTACTGCCTGTTCCCTGCTCTCCAGGCTCACAGCCCCTCTTCGGGTTCCTCAAACACTCCAGCGTGGCCCCTTTTCCAGGCTTTGGAGTTGGTGGTCACTCTCCCTGGAGGAATTTCACAAGACTCACTTTGCTGGTCACCAAGGTCTCTACTAAAACATCATCAAGGTCCCTGCTGAAACATCGCTCTCCCTAGAGGCCGTCCTGTACCACTCTGCCCTCATCTCTCTCGGACCCTCCCCGGCTCATCTCTTCCTAGCGCTTATCATCTGGGGCCACATGGGAACGCTTTGCCTTTCTTGCCGGCTGCGCTGTGTCTAGAGTCTGGCTCACGGCAGATGCTTGCTAAATATTGGCTGAATAAATGCATGGATTCGCTATTTGCCATCCACAATGGTAAATTCAGCCCTTCAAAGATGCTCGGAGCTCCCGTCCCCACAGCAGCAGTTAAACCCCTTTAAGCAGTGCTGTGTGCAGAAGCCTCTTGGGACGCAGAGGCCCCCGAGGAAGGAAACATGACCTGTCTTTTGTGGAGCGCTGGCTGCGATGAGCATCTTCAGACTCCCTGTCTTTTGTCTGCAGGGGCAGCTGCAGAATTGAACTTGGCGACTCAGTTACAGGGAGGAACAGAAACCCCCACCAAAGAGCGTGCCTGCCCTCTTGATGGCCGCACGGTCAGCACTGGGCAGAGCCCACCCCTTCTTTCAAGTAAAAGGAGCGCCTGTGTTCCAATCACCCTGTGATGCAAAGTTTCTGAAAAGGTTTGCTCACCTTACTGACTAATTAAAGGGAAGCCACATTTTTCCCTCCCTGGTCTCTGCCACCATACCACCAAGGGCTACTCGATAGGCGCTTGCAGCTTGGGTTACACAGATGCCCGCGATAATGCCATTTGCTGTGATGATTGAGTCGACAAGGCTGAGTGACTTGGTGAAAATATTCCCCGATTGGACTAACCTGTTGGCGGCTTGCTTACCATCACACTTGTTTTTATAATGAAAAAGGAAATTATTTCTGTTTTTAATGATGGCAGCTCCAGAAATGGTGAGTAAAATGGATGTGGGGAGAGAAGATGCTTCTCAACATTTCTCAATGTTGTAGAGCCTGCCAACCACAGCCTGTTTGGGAGGGGACGTTCTCACCCGGGTTCCATCTTTCAGAAGCCATTTTTCCACTTATTCTTACTCTGTTTATATGGATAAACTATGTAATTTGCTATATGCTGACAGTAAACAGAGGTATCAGCAAGAATGAAAGCCAAAAAAATGGCCCAATATGAACTTCTTGTTTTTCTAAGATAGTCTTCCAAGCTCTTCTTGCGATAGAAATGAAATAAACATTTTTGGCACGAAACTCTTGTTTAGATTTTACTATGACCTTGGGAAACACGGTTTGTTTCAAATGACTTTGCTAGTTTCCTTTGGAATTTCAAACGTTACAACAGGTAGTCACAAAGGGAATGAAAGCGGATGATCTGAGTATCTGTGTTGATGCGCCTGCTGGAGCCCCTGTGGATTTTAGCGCTTGGAGGGAGCAGGTTCCCAGAGCAGCCATGCCTGATACCTGGGAGAGGGAACTGGAGTTTAATTGGGAACCATCTGCTATTTTTCTACTTCCTCTGCCCTCTCAGAGTTACTGGGTATGACTTGGAAAGGTCTCTGGTCTTTGGCATTGTGATAGGTGGAATTCTTTCATAGGAAACACAGCCCCAGGATTGTTTTGATGCAAGCCGTCGGTCCAAAGCCACTCCCCACTTTGCTATGTGGGGGGAAGGACCGAGAACCGGATGGCTTGGATACTTTCATTCTTAATTAGGTCATGCCCGTGTGAGCCAGGAAAGGTCTGTGTTTATGCAAAGCTAGTAATACTGTTGCCTACTCTCTCTTCTGTGGTGCCATCTACATTTTTGGGACTCGGGAATTATGTGAGTACCGAAACAACTTATGCTTATGGTAGGTGTACACACGCACAGGGAAAGAATTGCGTTTATGTGGGACAGGTGAAAACAGTCGCAAAAAAGCAACGGAAAGGGCTTTGAAAGTAATTTATCTTCTGAAGAATAACGATACGGTAACTTCTAAATGGTGAGAGGGAATCTCTCTAAAGCAATCGATTCGAAGATTGGTTGGACAAACAGCGGGAAAGTCGTTGTCTTAGCAGAATTAAGTTCATACTTTTTTTTTTTTTTTTTTGCTAATTCTAGAAGGTTTTCTGTTATCTGCTGTAGCTCAGACAAAAATGCATTCTCACCAGACGAGTGTTTTCGGTTAATCGATACTGAATGCGCTTTGTGTAGACTGTCGAATTTCAAAGATTTATTGTATGACCAAGATGCACCTGATGCTACAATTGAAAATAGGGGAACAAATGCTTTCTGTTCTTCCTCGGCTAAGGAGATAGAGGTGGAGGTGGAGCCGGAGGTCAGAGGTCCTGAAATAGTCACCATGGGGGAAAATGATCCGCCTGCCGCTGAAGCCCCCTTCTCATTCCGATCACTTTTTGGCCTTGATGATTTGAAAATAAGTCCTGTTGCACCAGGTAAGTAGACCTAGGTGAGGACCCTGTGATTTCTGACCACACATGCCCCATGTAGATGACCAATGTGGCTAACTGTCCCTGTCGGGGAAGTATCTTCCCAGCCATTCTGACACCCATAGGCTGGACTTCCCTAGACCTGCGGAATCTCGGGGAGAAGGGGTATTGGAGAGGGGATCGTTTGGTTAAGCCCCTTGCTCTCTCCCTGGAGATGGGTGTTTTCTTCCCTTGTTGGAGGTTTTCAGAGACTGGGGCTCCACAATTGCCCTGTCAATCTTCAAGGAGGTCAGATCCTGGCCAGGAAATCTCTGAGCCCTCCAGGAAGTCCTGAGAAGCAGCGGCCACCAGTCCTTCCGAAAACTCAGGATAAACTGGATGTCGCCAAAGATATTAGAAGCCTAGATTAAAATAGAGCAGCAGATGACAGAGTGGCTCCTAAGAACTGAAGGAAAAAAGTTGGTTTTGTAAATAAGTCACAAATGCCTGGTAAAACAGTGGACTCTCTAGCAACCTATATGGCTAGGATCTTTTTGACCAGTGATGGTCAGGACTGGTCAAAGGGAGCTGTGGGGTTGCTGGCTCTGGAAGTCGGGGCTTGGACGCAGGCAGATTCCTGACCCATTGGTTCTGGGGAGGAACCACAGGAGCTCTGCCTGAGGTTCCAGAAAGCGGGAGTGGGGGTCACCCTAATGATTTCTTTTAAACCACCTGGAAAATTGGCTTGGAGGAGGTTTGGAAAGGATGGGAGGTGGGAGAAAAGGTTTCAAGTAACTGAAAAGACACACTATTTAAAAATATGGCTCAAAATTAGTGTAAGTGTCAATGAAAGAAAAAAAATCTTGCAATCACCTGACCCCCAAAACTTACCTGGTTTTTACATCTGCAAAGTCTCTTCCTGCTTTTGCTAATACGTGTGGTTTCATGCACAGTACAGATATAGGTAGCTGGGTTTTTTTCCATAAAAGGTTTTTATAAATTTTTTCTTATGGAATCACAATATTCCATTAAGTAGATATGCAATTTACATAGCCATTTGGTCATAGTTTGACCTATAGTTGTTCCTAATATTTTATAATATAAATAATATAAATATTGATAGCATTATAATATTCCTTTCTCTTATTTTTTGATTATTTTGCTATGACTAAGTAGTGGGGAGGAACAAAAACTTTTCCTTGTAAATAGAACAATGCATTGTTCATTAGAAAAACAATTTAGAAAATACAGTTCATCAAAAAGATTTTTTAAAATTACCCACAATGGCACCATTACTCAGAGATAATCCTATCAGCAATGTATTATTGAATTTCTTGCCTTTTTCTATCTATATATCTATATTTCCTCTTGGAAGTAACATGTACTATTTGTATTATTTTGAAGCTTTTTGTAACATGTACTATTTGTATTATTTTGAAGCTTTTTAAAAATTTTAACAATATCACCTTCACCTTTCTATGGCATTAAATAATTAAGTATTTTCTAGATGTTGACAAATTATGGCTGATGGGTCAAATCTGGCCCACCCCTTGCTTTTGTAAATAAAGTTTTATTGGAACACAGACACACTCATTTGTTCATATACTGTCTGTGGCTGCTTTCATGCCACAACAACAGAGTGGGGTCGTTAGGACAGACCACCTGGTCCATAAAGTTTAAGTACTATATTTACTATCTGGTCGTTTACAGAAAAAGCTCGCTACCTCTTTTCTATATCATCTTGTCCTCCTATAGGTATTCCATTACGTATGTACCTCATTTGTTATTTCACCCGTTCTTTTTGTGGGTAATTTGGTCTATTTCCTGTGCATCAATATTATAAGTGCCTTTCTTCTAAGTGCCCTTGGGGGTCGATATTTGTGTATATCTATGGTGACATTTTGGGATAAATTCCTAGAAGTGGAACTGCTAGGTCAAAACTTTCATCTGTTTTTGAGCTTTCTGGTGTCTTAAGTTTACACAGTTGGGAAGTTTATACAATTTCTACCCCTGTGACTGTAGGTGGGGGGCCATTTCCTTTCACTTCATGTGAATCATTGTGAAGTTGGTACATAGTTATGTGTAATTTGCATTGTTCATCGTTTTCATTTCTCAAGAAGTCGAAAGTTTTTTTTTTTTTTTTCCTTGAGATGGAGTCTCACTCTGTCACCCAGGCTGGAGTGCAATGGCATAATCTTGGCTCACTGCAACCTCCACCTCCCGGGTTCAAGTGATTCTCCTGCCTCAGCCTCCTGAGTAGCTGGGATTACAGGCACGTGCCACCGCACCCCGCTAATTTTTGTATTTTTAGTAGAGGCAGGTTTCACCATGTTGGACAGGCTGGTCAAGAAGTTGAAAGCTTTTTCACACTTGTGTGCCACTTGCATTCCTTCTTTGGAGAAATATTGTGCATTTCGTTGTTTATTCCAGGCAATGCCCTCAAGGACCAAGTACAGAGGAGACTTGGGGCACCTGCAGTGCCCTCAGGGCAGCCTGGCAGAGAAGCAGAGCAAACGGGAACTGATACAACGTTTCTATTAAATGTCAATCTTTGATTTGACAATTTGGGGTCATTTTCTAAATCTGACTTAGATACAGAGCAGGTGGAATGCGAAGAGGTCATTCCTGGGTTCCTGAAGATTTCTAAGTGTAAGACGGAGGATAGGCATCCTCATAGAGGAGAATCGTTAGTGTGCGGGGGATTGAGGTGTGAGGATCCTTTCTACGCGCTCACCACCACAGATGGGCTGTCCTGGAAGGACTTGGTCTCAGACCCTGAGTTAAAACCGCATTCATTATCATTACGTCATTCATTCATTCATCTAGCACATTTTTATCAAGGACTACGGTGTGTCCCCTGCTGTTCTAGGTATGGAGAATGCAGACTCAACAAACCACTGAGCTTGTCCAGGCCTGAAACACAGAGCTGGCCACGGTCTCTCGTCCTCCCTTACTCTGCGTTCCTTGCAGCCTCCACATCTGCGACGTGCAGCTCCTATTTCCCTGCTCTTCCTCCATCTCCCGCTCACCCTCCCCTCCGCACACTCTTTTCTCCTCGCATTCCACGTCTTTTCATCATTTTTGTCTTCAAATTCTCTTCTTTCTTAGGCAGCCTCAGCTGATATTGATCATTTTATAATCACACTCCTTATTGCCAGAGGGTGAAGTTGTGAGTCTCCACGGATAGGCAGGGAAAGATCTTTTTAGCTCTTCCATGAGAGAGTTCTCGGTTCAACAAGCCCAAGACTAGGAGGAGAGAGGCAGGTGCTAGTCTCATCCTGGGCAATTGTGTGCCCTGGGCAGGCTTCTCTCCCCTTTCTGGATTCCAATCTTCCTAATTTTTAACAAAGACAACTTGGGTATTCATGCATTTTCAGGATTGATGAAGTAATTTATGTGAAGTGGCCTGCTCTCCCCAGGAGGGAAGAGTGCTAGTGGGAATTCTTCTGCTGCCCAGAGAGGCTTATACTTCTGTCCAGGCATCTGGACACTCCTTACATATTGTCCACTAGATTTGCCTGGTTCTGGAGGCAAGAATTGTAAAGGGTCTGAGATGTCACCCTACTTGCAAGCCAAAATTTAGCCTGCCACAGTTTCATGGGTGCTTTGGAAGACATGAGAGTCCTGGGTCAGAGACAAAGGACTCTGTTCCTCTCATTGCAGCAAGGGGCACAAGCATCCTGTTTGTGCTGGCTGCCTTTGCCTTCTCAGTCCCACAGAGGCATGTGGAGCAGCCTACGTGTATGCTGCACGTGCAAGCGGTTTGCATTGCTGCTGCATATCCCAGAGTCAAGAGAACCCTCATCTTTATAACGGTCTGAAAGCAGACCTGTGCAAACTTTGCTCTGGAGGAAGACATTACATTTGTTAAACTGGACTGCCTCTTGCTCTGGAAGGAGCTTTGTAAACAAAGCTGCCTCTTGCTCTGGAGGGAGACACTCTCTGTATCTTCCAAGGCTGTTTGCTCCACACACAACCTTGAAGAGATGATCTGGAATGAAAGCTGTCAGTGTCTGTGCACAGCAACTGTGAAGAATGGTGTATCAACAGCCTGTCCTCAGCTGGACATGGTGGCTCACGCCTGTAATCCCAGTACTTTGGAAGGCCGAGTGGGGAGAATCACCAGAGCCCAGGAGTTTGATATCAGTGTGGGCAACATAGTGAGATCCCCATCTCTATAAGAAAAAATTTAAACAAACAAACAAAATCAACATCTTGTCCTTGCATCCCCTCTGGGAGATCTCAGCCCTACCTCTGCCTGCAAGCCCCGTGTGGGTTTCACACCCTCCTCTGCAGGGGAACAGCCTTGGAAACTGGGATGCTACTTCCCCTCCATATTAGTGTCCTAGAACTGCTGAAACAAAGTCCACAAAACTGGGTGACTTAAAACAACAGGCATTTGTTGTCTTAGTTCTGGAGGCCGGAAGTCCAAATTCCAAGGTGTCATCAAGGCCATACTCCCTGTTAAACCCATGGAGCACTATGCTCTGCCTCTTCCTAGCTCCTGGTGGTTTGCCAATAATCTTTGGCATTTCTTGGCATGTAGATGCATTGCTCCCATCTCTGCCTTCATCTTCATGAGGCTGACTTCTGCCTGTGCCTCCTCCCATCCTCTTCCCTTCATGTATGTTTGTCCCTGTGTCCTGATTTCCCCGTTTTTTGTTTGTTTGTTTTTTGGAGACAGAGTTTCTCTCTTGTTGCCCAGGCTGGAGTGCATTGGCGTGATCTCGGCTCACTGCAACCTCTGCCTCCTGGGTTCAAGTGATTCTCGTGCCTCAGCCTCCTGAGTAATTGGGATTACAGGTGCCCACCATCATGCCCAGCTAATTTTTGTATTTTTAGTAGAGATGGGGTTTCACCATGTTGGCCAGGCTGGTCTAAACTCACCTCAAGTGACCCACCTGCTTCAGCCTCCCAAAGTGCTGGGATTACAGGAGTGAGCCACTGCACCCAGCTGTTTTCCCCTTTTTATAAGGACAGCAGTCACTTTGGATTAGAGCCCACCCTAATGACCTCATTTTAACTAGATGACTTTGTAAAGACTCTCCAGTCCATCTCCAAATAAGATGCCATTCTGAGTACTAAGAGTTAAGACCTCAACATGTCTTTCTGGGGGATACTATTCAACCCGTAGCACCATCCCCTCATCCCCCATGGAATAACCAGGTCAGAGGTGGAGCAGGTAGGACTGAACTTCTAAAGAATGTGCCCCATGGTTGGTGGCCCTTTCCCTAATTAAGGCACCTTTCTTTGGGCTGAGACTTCTCTGCAAAGAGGGGAGGGGGAATGGATAGCTAATGTGTAAGTTCCATGCCACTCCAAGTCAAGCTCTGTGGCTTTCTGCTCTTCTCCTTTCCGGTTTTCAGATGCAGATGCCGTTGCCGCGCAGATCCTGTCACTGCTGCCATTGAAGTTTTTTCCAATCATCGTCATTGGGATCATTGCATTGATATTAGCACTGGCCATTGGTCTGGGCAGTGAGTACAATTCATTATTTAGTAGGATCTCAAATACCTAGCCAAGTAGTTAAACTTTCATGAGCGCCGCCTCTCGCCCCGGCATTTTGCTGCTGCCTAGCCTTAATTACTGGAGGCAAACATCCTTTTGGTTTGCTGACTTGAAGTTTTATTTGCCCACATGAATGTAAAGCCAGTCTGGGGTGCAGCAAGGGCTGCTGGCCATGCTCATGGCTTTGTCACCAAGGAACCTGCCCGGTTGGGAGTGGCCAAAGGCAGCTGATGAAATAGAATCCCACAGGTGGGAAGGAGGCACTGACCGGGGCAGCGGGGAGAATACAAAGCGGCCTATTCAAGCAATGCAGGCACATCAGCTGCTTTTACAATAAGGTGCATGTGACTTTTGAGAAAGTGGGTCATTTGGACGAAGGGTCTCTAATAGGGAACAATTTTTCTTTCAAATACCTGAATCACAGGTCAGTTTAATTCGCCACCTGCCCCACTGTGTGGTCCACAGCTCGTTCACTTTTTGCCCTCGGTAAGAGAAACCAGGAAGGCCTGAGCAGTTCTCAGTCAGGACTCCTTGCTCCGCCGGCTCAGCAGGTCGGCCCCCAGCTATGCAGTTTCTCTCTTGACTTTGAGCCCTCCAGAGTCTCAATTCACCTTGCGTTGTGGTTCCCGGGCCAGGCCACTTAGCCAGACAAAGTGGGACACAGCAGCCCCACCCCTTGGAATTCAAAACAGAAACTGGGCTTCAGGAAACAGGCTGCTGACAGGGATGCAATTTCAACACAAGTTTCATTATTCACGGGCAGCTCCGTGCCGTGTGGTAGGTGGACAGTTGCTCATGTGGCACTCTGAAAGAGCTGTTGGTGAATTCCTGCCTTCCTCCCTTTCCCAGTCCACTTCGACTGCTCCGGGAAGTACAGGTGTCGCTCATCCTTTAAGTGTATTGAGCTGACGGCTCGATGTGACGGAGTCTCAGATTGCAGAGACGGGGAGGACGAGTACCGCTGTGGTAAGGTCATGGCTCTTTTCCGGGGAAGTAGAAGGAAGCAGCAGAAGCCAACCCTGACCCTTCCCATCTGTAAAATGGGTCCAAGTCATTGCCATTTTTAGGCCATGTCCTCAGCTGGGATTGAACTGGCATTTGCCCAAAGACATGTTGGACTGGGGGTCACGGAGGGCCTTCCATGGAGCTCTGCCTCACTTGGGGAGACCACAGAAGCAATAAGATGAGACCACTGAGAAGTCTCAGGGGTCCAGAGTCCCTGCTCTGTGATGGAGAGGCTGCTGTGGACAAGAAGTGGGTCAGATGTGGCAGAGGAGGGGTTTGAGCTGGCTGTGGAGAAACCCCGGCCTGCGGTCTCAGGGTTCCACCTGCCACTAACGAACCTTTCTCTCTGCACATCGGCCAGTCCGCGTGAGCGGTCAGAATGCCGTGCTCCAGGTGTTCACAGCTGCTTCGTGGAAGACCATGTGCTCCGATGACTGGAAGGGTCATTACGCAAATGTTGCCTGTGCCCAGCTGGGTTTCCCAAGGTAAGTTAAAGAGCATTTCCAACCCATGGGCAAAACACAGAGAGGATAACAATGAAGAAAGACAACTACCGTTTAGTTGGGCACTATTCGGTGCTTTAACGCTCTCAGATTCCATCCTCGCAGCCACCTTAGGATGCCCAATATCATCCTCACTTCACAGGCAAGCAAACCAAGGCCAGACAGGCTAAGTGACTTGCTCAAGGCACATGGGAAATGGCATGTTTGGGGGTTCTCAGGGCCAGGCCAGGATCGGAGATGCACACATGCAATAAAAAGCTTCAAAGTGAAAAACCAAAAAACAAAAACAAAAACAAAAAAACCCTCCAGCTCCTCAGCTTGCAGCTCCTAGAGTAGCTTCCTGGCTTCCCCAAGAACCCCACAGAACCAATTGTTGAAAGTCAGAAATTTAGTGAAGACAAAATCATCCAAAACAGTTGTTTAGCAACATGTAGAACAAAGAACTATAACAGCTGACTGTTCACTTTTTAGTGTTTGTGTTGCCTACATGATTTTTTGCATTGGGGCGACACATTTTTGGCCCAGGCAGGGGCCTCCTTCTCTTCCCTGGCCCCTTCCTTCTGACTTCCTGCAGCCGCTGTACTTCCACGGGTTCCCCTAGCAGCCTCCTTACTCCCTTTTGCTCTCAAGTCTCAGCACTCAAAGCAAGCAGGCTGCATTCTGCTTTGCCCTCAAGTAGATGGGGTCATTAAAGCCACACTGCCCTGAGTCCTCCAGTCTCAGTTTTCAAATTCCATGCATCATATTCTCAGCTCTCTTTCCCCAAAGCCGGTGGAAGCCAAAATGCTCTCCAGCCTCCAGCCCTGAGGTCTGCCTCCTTCTCCCTCCACACCAACTGAGATTCAGAAATGAGCTGCAATTCAAGTTCAATGAGAACAGCAAAAATCATCCACACTAACACCTTCAGGAATTATATATTACTCCTCAGAGACAAGGAGGAAGAGGTACACACACACACACACACACACACACACACACACACACTGCACACAGCTGAGAGCTTCCCCGTCGGGCATTTCTCTTCCCTGCGAAGGTCATGCCAACTGCCTTGATTACATTTTCCTCAAAACTCAAAGCTGACTGAACTTTGTATTCTACATACACATCCCATAGCATTTACAGTAAGCTGAAGAATCCTACTGATAAGCTGGTGTGTTTGCCATGACAACAAGCTACTGCACTGTGTTTTGTTCATTTCACAAAGAAAGGAGAACATGGCTGTTTATTCACCATCTTCCATCTTGTGACTCTCCAAACATTTGATTCTTTTTTAAAAAGTTGCACCACTGTCTCCACTATTCTCCAGAAGACCTGTGTCCTGGCACTGCGAACATGAGCTGGGCTCTGGTGTTCGTGGAATCACTTTCTTGTATGTGTTCATCTCTTCCAGTGGGGCCCCACGCTGGTCCTGGGCAGATAAGAAATGTCTCCCCTGTTCCTCCAACTCATTGTTCGTGGGGAGCTTGGCGTCCCTGCTTGGGTGCCCCCCAACAATACTGTGCCTATTTCTGTGCTCACCTCCCCTCTGGACTTGCTTCAGGCCAAGCAAAGGGCACTTCACTGGAACATGCAAAGAGTGACCCATCCAGGGACATCAGGAGGTGGTCACTCACCGTGTGGCTGCAGCCCAGGGTGGGTGGACAGGGCCGTCAGGTGCAGGCCAGAAGCGGGGGTCACCCCAGAACAGAGCAGGCCTAGAATGAATGCCCTGCCAGGGTGAGTGAACTTCATTCTCTTGGCAAAAGGAAGCCTTTGACGGGTTTGGGGGGACAAAATGACATCCCCCAGGTACAATCCCTGTCATATTGTGACTCGCACATAGGCTGAATGCTTCAAAGGGTAAACTTACCACATTGGGTCTGTGTTTCCGATGTACTTGCAGCTATGTAAGTTCAGATAACCTCAGAGTGAGCTCGCTGGAGGGGCAGTTCCGCGAGGAGTTTGTGTCCATCAATCACCTCTTGCCAGACGACAAGGTGACTGCGTTACACCACTCGGTATATGTGAGGTAGGTGGTCAGGCGATGCTATTGTCTGCATGGGTATCGAGTCACCTGCTGGATTTGTGACACTGTTCTCAACTCCACAAGGACGTAAGAGGCATACGTGTGTTATCTCAGATGGAAGGTGGGAGTTGGCCACCTTGGTGAGACTGGTGGATGCACCAGGCTGGGGATGTGAGAACCTGGACCCAACTGGGCAAGTATGGCCCAACGAAGAAAGGGAAGGAAATAGAGTAGAAGGGTAACAGTGCTGTGTGTGTGAGACCAAGGTACTGTCACATGACAGGCACTCTGGGTGTGTGTGGGGAATGAAAGCAGGCAAGAAAGAATGGGGGTGGGGAGGAAAAGAGGAAGGGAGGATGGGAGGAAGGAAGGAAGGAAGGAAGG